CCTAGATAGCGATCTTGTGAGCGCCTTGACTGCAGCCAACTGGCGAATCCAGCTTTTCTGAGTGCCTAGCAAAGTACGCTGCTTTGCGGGTTGACTAAGCGCTCATAGAATACAATTGAAGGTCACTGGTCGCATGTTCACCAGACATTACTAAAAGCAGCCAAATCCTCATGTCGTAAGTTTAATAGCCAACATGCGTTTGGGGTCTCTTCACGGTCTCTGGAACTTATCGATGCTCGTCGGCACATTCCTACTGGAAGCGAACACAACGGGACTCGCGAAAACTCCGTGCTCTTTTAAGTGAGACGGCGAATCTTGGTGCTCTTATCGTGCATCAGAGATGGAAGTGGCCTCTGGGATTGGTAACCACCGGAAGATATTTCGTATGATACGGGAAACGGGCAGCAGGAGACCTGGTGCTAGTGAAACTATACATGATTAGAATGGACAGCCTATCCACAACTTGTCAAAAAGCTTGGAGCGTTGGCTTGAGCACTTTGAAAGGCAATTTGATCGGTCAGAATTGTTGTTTCTCTCCGGCCACTGATCGCCCTGCTCCTTGGGCTGTCCCTTTGGATCCGCCTTCTCGCTCAGAAATCGAATGTGATATCAGACAGCTGAAATTGAATAAAGCCGCGGGATCAGGTGATCTTCCTCCAGCCCTCTTCAACTCCGGCGGCATCACCATTGTCGATGATTTACACGAATTACTAGTGAAACTAGGGGGGCAGATGACTGTCCCAACTGACTGGAGCCGCTTCGTTATTGTCCGACCTTCAAAGGAGGCTCGTGTTCGGAATGCGGTGACCATAGAAGAACCAGTCTGATCTCCATCGTCTCCAAATTGCTTGCCTCTGTAATCCTTCACAGACTGACTTGCCCTGATGAAAGTCGAATTCGCGTGGAGCAAGCCAGGTTTCGTCGAAATCGAAGATGCATCGACCACATCTTCACTTTGCGTCAATTGTTTGTCACATATATTGGCGGCCCACCGTAATCCTGTTCCCCGATATCAAACGTGCCTTCGATTCGGTGGATCCACATTCTTTTTGGCACTGTCTACTCAGGAAAGATGTGCCCGAGAAATATGTAAATATTATACGCGCGTAGCTTGAGCAGAGTGAGCACTTACGGCAAGCTGTTGCCGCCCTTCAATATCTACAGCGGGGTAAGACAAGGATGCCCGCTGTCATCTTTCCTCTTCAACTTCGCTATTAACGAAGTCATGGGAATCGCGTTCACAGGACACGACTTAGAAGATGTGGAGCTGCTTCTTGACTTGGAGTATGCTGACGATATTGCCCTCATCTGTGGCAACCCCCAAACGTGTCAAGTGGCATGGGACAGGTTAGCACTGGCTGTCCTTCTCCTCGAGCTTTGCTTCGCACCCTCGAAGTGCAAAGCTTTTCTCCAAGATTGGCTGGGACTGCCTCCTGCGCTGACCCTTGATGGGGATCAGCTGGAAGTCGTTCAGAAATTCAATAACCTGAAAATTTGCGTCAGCGCCCGTGGGATTGAAGATGAGTTCACGAAGCGTATAGCGAAAGCTCGAGACGCTTTTTCTAACCTTCCTTACCTATGGCGCCGGTGCGGCATCACTCTCTGCCCGAAGGGTAAAGTGTACCATGCCGCCGTATGTTCGGCGCTACTGCACGCTTGTGAAACGTGGCCCCTTAGATCAACGGACATAAACAGACTAGTTACTTTCGACCACCGGTGCCTGCACAGTTTGGCTCGCATCTGGTGGGAACACCGTGTGAGCAGTGAGCATGTTCGACTCCTTGTTTATGGCACCGGAAGAGGCAATGAACTGCACAGCACTATTATTTCACTCACCAGGCTCTGATGGCTAGGTCGCGCTTTACACATGCCAGCCCAACGGTTCCTTCGACGTGCTTTATTTGCGCGCCGAGGGTGTGGATGGAAGAAGAGGAGTGGTGGCGAAGCCATGACTTGGTCGAGAGCAATGAAGGCTCTTACTTCGACGTTGACCTCAGCTGAAACTTCTCGGCTCCATGTTTGAGGTCTGAAAGACGATGAACACGTGTGGCTGGATACACTTGCTGATATGGCTAGGAGTTGACCTCAGTGGCGTCCGTATTGTTAGCTTTTTCCCTCCCCATTTCTCTTATCCTCCCTCTCCGACCCCGATCTCATTTCCTCGCATAATACAAATTTTGCTTAATAAACCTTTTTTGCTGCATAGTAGGCGGCTTTTAGCTTTCCGCAACCATGCCCATTCGTTACTGGTAGCTCAGCTGGCGCGCATCTGGTGTACGTTTTTTTCTTTTTTTCTTATGTATTGCAAAACAGTAGCTGAAGTGTTTTCCACCTCTGTCTAAAGTGTATAGTGGTGGTGATATTGATGGCCAACCATGGACGCAGATTGACCACATGGCAATCAGTTATCGCTGACAGAGTACAAATCGATCTGGAGTACTTGCTTTACTTCAGATCACACGCTTGTGTGTGCCAAGCTCGCGTCGTTGGAAGCGGCTGGACGTAGCCAAGCTCACTGCCCCAAGTGTTTACAGTGCCTTTCAGGATGTGTGGGCCTCAGATCTCAAAAGCATCTCACATTCAGACGTCAAAAGGTCCGGGGCACACATCCGAAGCGCCATACACAATTCTGCGACGTTGGTGTTTGGCTTCCCCGATAGTCATGTCAACCACTGGATTTCTACACAATCCCCTCAGCTTCTCGAAGCTCGTCGAGCAATTCCTGCTGGCGTTTGGTACCACACACTGCGCAGGACCGCAAGCGCTAACACTAAACATCTTCTCCGGGAGGATCGCGAAATCTGCTGGACATTGCGAGTCATTGAGATGGAGCAAGCGGCCACCTCGGGGAATTTCCGGAAACTTTTCCCCCTGATCCAATCTACTGGAGCCAATAGGCTGTGCGAAGCCAATGGCGAACCAATCCACAGTTGACAACGTCGACTGGTGCGGTTGGCCGAGCACTTCGAACATCAGCACTGGCGATCACTCACTTAGCAATGCAGAGTGTTACCTGGTGTGTAGACGCTTCATTACCATCTGCGGTTTCTTATAAAAGCTCTGCAAAACGCTTTTTTTAAGCGCCACAAAGCATGTGGCTCTGATGAACTCGCTGCGGCTCTTTTCAAAGATGGGGCCCATCCCTTGTTCAGAATTTAACTTCCCATCTCTAAGAGGTTTGGATCACAGTGGCAATGCAGTCTGATTGGAGCCTAGTGCATATCATGCTCGTTTTCAAAAAGGGTGTTAGAATAGCCTGCACAAACCACAGTGATTAGTCACATCGTTGCATCCAAAGTGCTCACCGCTCTGCTTTTAAGGAGGCTCAGCCTGGTACGCAAAGAGGCGTTAGGGTTCTGCTGCGGTCGGAGTTGTAGCTATCACATCCTTAGGTTGCACCAACCAATCGAGTGTCGTCAAATGTTCGGTTTGCCAACGATCGTTGTCTCCTTAGACATACTAGCCGCGTTTGACTCAGTCGACCAATCTGCTCTGTGGAGTTTTCTGTTGAGAAGGGGAGTTCTTAAGAAGTATGTCAACATTCTTCGGACTATCTATTCCCGAATTTCAGACCGATTGTGGGTGTACGGCAGACTTTCGCCCCTCTTTAGTATCACCAGTGGCGTGAAACAGGGCTGCCCAGCATCATCGTTCCTGTTCAGTTTTGCTATGGGCGACATCCTGGAGAGCGCTCTGGACAACTGCGAACTCAGCAGCATTTAGTTGCTTTCGAGGGACTAACTTCGCGATTTGGAGTATGCCGACGACATTGCTGTAATTTGTGACTCTTCACAAGTGACCGAAATGTCCGGTTTAGATTGCAGGTGTCTGTCTCGAACTTTGGAGTGACTTTCGCTCCATCGAAGTGTAGGATGATGCTCATAAAAAGGCAGTGAAAGCTAGAGAAAACTCTCGTTGGCACTTTTGCACGCAATCGTTTTCTGTTTCTGGCCTCACGGTGTCGGCAAGATTTACACATCTGACCCTAATGTTTTGTTTCTGTCTCTTATTATTTCATTTTTGTCCCTCTTCTCATCACATGTTATTGGGATCGTCTCTTTATTACCCATGGTATATTGATCAAGTATCAGTGCAAATTACCGGTGTATCACTGCTAACGGAGCTGATGGAAGGTGAAACGTAGGGGAACTATTTTTAAACACCCTTTCGAAACTTTGTCTTTCGCTTATATCTCTTCCGAAGATTTCCACGCCGACACTATCGTATCATCAGTCATGTTTCCATCCATCACTGCGTTTTTCCCGGTAGCGATTCTGGTTCATATCACCGTATGTCACCAAATCCTTGCGCTGATTTAATAATCTTGCAGAATTTTGTATGTGCACTAGTATTTAAGAGGATAACTTTTAGATGAATGCACGGGTGCCGTAATTACGATGATCTATGAGCTATTTACGTCCATCTTTTTGTGAATCGTCTTCTATATCGTCTTTAGGTACTTTCTGCTCTGAATGTCTTCAGTTCTGTTCTACAAACCTACTTTCCTTTTACACTCGTGAGTTCCGAACCTCACTGTTCCACACGTGAAATGATCTTACGCTGTCGGTCTTCACGTAGTCAAACCGTATATATGAACGTGTATTCATAGCACCGATCTCCGTTTCTCTATGTCTAAGTTACGTTACTTATAGAACATCCGCTCTCTTGTTATCTTTCCGGTCGCTTACATTGTAGCATTAGACTCGAGTGATACATCTCGTGCATTGCATTTCCACTGGTACGATGTTCACACCGCGTCAGGATTCCATTGTGTCTCCAGATCTCTTGAGAATGGCTACACTGCATCAGTGATTTAGCAGAACTCCAAAGAAAAGACTCCCTCTTTTTTGTGGGTGACAACGGTTGTTTTTTTCTATCTTGCTGTCACTATTGTGAGTCCTTTTTTACTTGGCCGTTCTTAATCTAACGATCCTCATGGTTTCACAAACCTTTGCTCCCGCATCCGTCTTATTCAACTTTCTTTCATTATGTTTCTCAAGGCCTGGCCTCAGAATATCCTTCTTTATCAAAGCGTTTGGAAGAGATATCTGCTGTGCTCGAACTGATTACGCGCACACCCTTGGCTTTAGTCGTTTGGGATGCAAAGTGGTGGTCGCGCTTGATGTACGATGTGTTCGGTGTGAAGTCTCGCGTATCCCTCTTCGATCCAGGCACATGCGGATGGATTCGGGATCCAGATCGTGGCAGGGCACCCTTGGCCAGTGAGGTGCTCCGATTGAGTCCAAAATTGAGCCGTCTGATCGACCAATTGAAGAGATCGAATCTATCTCCTGGTACTTCCTCGCAGTGCATATGAGGATGTTGTCTCGTTCGTGTTTGCGTGCCCTTCATTTGTTTAGCTTTGCTATTTGAACCCATCCTATCCAACTTTAGACAATTTATCTTTTTTGAAAACAATGGAACGTTTCATCATTTAAACACATGTAACCCTCTATGGAAATGGCTGCAATTTGTTTTACTATTCGCAAGGATGCATGACGCTGTATTGAGGTTAGGATCACTAGATAGATCGGAATACGTAATAGTCACCACACATGACGGATGTTAACAAACTGCTCCTTTTTAACCGTTTGTGTCCGCTGAGCACCGCTCATCTATTTCGTACCACCGGATGTACAATGATGAGATGGGCTTTTGACAGCGGATCATCCGGCGTCGCACTGGATCGCGCTTTGAACTTGAATCTCAGCGTGTTTCGTTGTCGAAGCCGCGCCTTATTAGATAAAGCCCCAGGGTGGCTAGCTGACGATATGATAAATGGGCACAAAGAAATTGGTCGCCATACTGCTTCATTGTTGCTTCCCGTCTACTCGAATGAGGACCATTAGAAACCTAACTCATGTTGTGTGGCCTCTAACTCGTCTGCCTTGTTGCATGCAGCATCTCATGTGAAACCTTGTTCGGACTTGTTTCTTGTATCGATTTCCTCGTAGTTCCACTACCATTACCTTTTGTTATCACCGATCGAGCAAGCACCTGAATTTAGTGCATATTCTGTTTGCTGAACTGAAATGTCAGCTCCACCTAAATCTGCACGTCAATACCGCAGCACTACGGGAAATGTTTCGCCAACATCGTCTTAGTCTCGTTTGCTACTAGTTTACTTGTAACAACTCCGCGTCAAGCTAACTGCTGCAAACTGGAACCACAATAATAGGTAACTAAATTCTGCATTTTCGCATACGAGTAAATCATATCCGGTTTTTACAGGCAGCTTCACTTGCTATTTGACCTCAGTGCACGCGATTGTGTGATAATGATAAGACTAATTCATTTTCGCTGCTTGTAATCTAAGCTGTTAATCTCTTTGTGTTCATAAGTGCGATTCTAGGATGTCAAAGTAAAACAAAATTCATCGCTTTGCATACTTACTCTGTTTAGTTGCCCAGATTGTTTCTGTGGATCTGCGCTGACCATCAAACCCATGTTTATCATGTGGCTGTTTGGTTCGGTGTTTTGAATGTGTGCACGTGTATCCGGCATTAGCGATGGACATATCTGTGATCCTTCACACTACAGTGTCTATCTTCTCAGGGAGTAGTCGATTCCTGAAATTATCATTAGATCGTAAGTAGTGATAGGCGGACGAATCTCGTCACGTTGCTCAGTATCCCCGCCCTGTTGCCCTCTGGTCCTCCTCCTTTCCTTCACCGGCGTTTTGTTGTGTTTTCTTGCTCTCTTCCCTTCAGAGCCTCCAACGCAGTTCTCCGATTGGTCGCAATTGCTCCCATGCAGTCCACTCGCTTCGAGCGATTGGTGCCCACCCGTTCGAAACGCACTCTATCATCGACTCTCTCTGCTACCGGAACATGTGAACCAAGCTTCTGCTCAATGTTTCCTACTATCTCAATGGACCGATCCGGACCTTTTCTGTCTAAATGAAGTGCCGAGGGTGCTTCTTGAATTGGAAATTCCCTGTCACTGTGTGCTATCCCGCCTCGAATCCTCTGGCTTTAGTGAGTGGACCCTGGACAATTCACGCTTTACACTAATCCGCATCCGGACGCCATTGCTGTGCTCTGGGTCGGTTGCGCCGCAGGTTTCATTTAAGCTAGCACTTTTCTCCCTCTCTCGTTTTCCTGGCAATTTACTGAAGTATTACTCACTGAAGTACTCATATGAGAAGTTCATAATGAGCTATCAGTGCTACTTCGTAAAAGTAGCCAACTAACTCAGAACCACGGATCATTGGTTATATATAAAAATTGGTTATCGGTATACTGCGCTCTTTCTCTACTCCGGAGCTAGATATCTAAGTTTCATTTTTCTTTCATATGGAGGCTGGTGTTCCTCCTACGACTGGATTCTCTAATGAAGCCCCTCCCCTGTGCTCTATCTCTACAAGCGATAGGCAATACATACGCCAGTAAACTGATCATCATCATCATCATCATCAACAGCAGTACATCAGCCATTTGAACTGATGCCTCACTGGCGTACAACTTTATTGACCTAAGGAATGAAGAGTAATAAGAGGGAGAGAACCGGGTCTTACCGGAAAATCTTCAAGCCCTAAGCAAACATTCAGGGTAATGACGCCTACCCCTTGTCAACAACATACCGTCACAAACAGCTGGCTATCGGGCAGATAAGACGGCATCGGCGAGACAGTTTCCTTGCGTCTTTCACTGCCCCGCGTCATAATCAGCCATTACTCCTTAGATAACTCAGTGCCAAACACACTTTAACACCAGTCCCACTAGGAAACGGCAGCAGTCGCTCCACTGGTGTCGGTTGCGAGCCATGTCTTGTAAACTCTCCAGCCTGGAAGACGAGACGGACCGACAGCACCGAGTTTGGTCATTAGTAACTTCATTTCCCGCTGCCAAGTCAACAACATAACAGCACAAACAGTTGTCTATCGTGCAATGATAAGTCGGCATCAGCCAGACAGCTTCCTTGCGGCTTTCACTGCCGCACATCATAATCACTCATTAAACCGCACACTTTAGGCAAGCAGTTCGACTAGGAGACAACATCAGACGCACTGCTGGTGCCGACTGCGAGCCGTGTCCTGTAACGTCTCGAGCCGAACACGAGGTGGGTCACCTGCACCGGCACCCGAGTTGGGTCGTCAGTGACTTCATTTCCCGTTACCGTTAACTTTTGTCCACCATGGGCCCTGTGCCACCCTACATCTGACAGACTAAACAAGACCCTTCTCGGTAAGTACTGATCAGGCATACGTAGTGCATGCCCAAGCCAACATGACTTGTTCAATGTGATCTATTTTAAAGAACTTGCTTGATTATCACTACCTAGTACTTGACTCCGCACATCATCGCTGCGAATACCCCTTTGCCATTCACCATCAGCAATGCTCCGCGGCCGCTTTAGATCTTCAGATCAAAATGTCCAGGCCTCCTTTCCGTAAAGTAGGACGGTCACACTTTGGTCTTTTAGACACGGCCTTTCAGAACGACGGGAACTCCCTTCTTTCGCCACAAATGTCGCAAGTTCAAGAAGGTTTTCTAACTTTAGAAGTACGTTCTTAGCGCGGCTGCTAATGTACTTGAATTGATCAACTAGCTGGAATTTATCGCTATCAATGCTCAAGGGATCATCAAATGGCTGGTAGTTTTGCAACAATACTTCGCACTTTGAAGGGGCGAAGCTTATGTCAAGCAATGGGACCGCTCTATTGAGTCTATCCAGAGTTGATTGCTCCGCTCCAGCATTGTTAAACAGCAAGACGATATCGTCCGCATAATTAAGTTCAACTAACCTCTCACCATACAGCACCACAACGCCTGTATCATAAAATTCCGCAAGGGAACGCTCCATGATGTAGTCCACGAGGAAGTTGAACTAAATGGGGAAATTGGATAACTCTGGCGAACGTCATTTGTCGTCGGAAACATATCCGACAAGTCATCCCAGACTGACATTTCCAGATGTGTTCATATACAGGGCACGTGAAATGTTCACATATTTCATGAGAACGCCTTTCCTTTCAAGCATTTCGAACAGAAAGAATCATTCGACTGAGTCAAACGGATCCATGAAGTCGAGGAACACAGCTATTGTCGGCCTGTGGTACCTCTGGCACTGTTCTAGCACCTGCCTCTGAGTGAATATGTGGTCTCTCCAACCTTGTCCTTGGCGGAAACCTGCCTTTTCCCTTATTAGGGATTACTGTTCCCCAGTGAGTTGATGAATGAGGATTGATGCCTGTACTTTTGTCACCGCCGGCGTTAGGTCAACACCCCTGAGGTTAGCACTGTCAATGCGATTGCACTTTTTGTATGTTCCCACTATGATCGGCGCATCCCACTTAGCTGGGGTCGCCTCTTCCAAAACTGTTCGAACATGGAGGTCAGTAATTTGCAAAAGATGTCACGACCATTATTAAATACCTAAAATGAATACAAAGTTTTGAGCCTCGTAAAAACGTAACAAGATACAGATTCTTCGGTGCTTTTATTTTTCAGCATAGTCGTCCACAAGCGCGACACCCTTGCTTCAGCAGAAAAGAACTCTTCAGATTGTGACTTTAAAAACGCTTCTACGGCTTCAGTGATGTCACTGTCATTGAGCAAATCTTTACCACCTATCGGTTTTCAAGTTTGGCAATAGGCACAACTCAGGGGAGCCAGATCTGGTGAGTAGGATGGGTGAGGAAGAAGCTCGAAGTCGCAATCATGGATTTTTATCTGAGCAATGGAGCTGTGGGTTGGTGCGTTGTCACTGTGGAGAATGACTCCTCTAGTCAATATTCTTGGCCGCTTTTTCGAATTGTTTATCTGAGACGTTTCACAGTAATACTCCGGGGATGTTATGACCTTTCTCAAGGTAATCAATCATCACCACACCTCGAGAACTTTAAAAAACAGATGCTATCACCATGCATGCAGATGGCGTAACCTTGACCTTCCTTGGCGTAGGATATGATTCACGCTTCCACTGCTTTGGTTGTCCTTTCTGATTGAAAGTGGTGAACCCCGCACTCATCCGTAGTAAAAAATCATGCAAGGAAATTATCGGCAGCTGCACCAAACAGTTCCAACTTGTTCTTTGACATCACATGTCGTCCCTTTGCCTTCAGGATCACAAACCTGCACTGTAATCCGAGGGCGCGGATTCGAGCCTGCGTATGGACTGGGCGACCCTCGAAGTATCTTTAGCCCAGTTGCAACTGGCCATGGGCGTTCGGCAGCGAAGTGTCGGTATTGCGTACCGGCGTACCGCTGATAACATATCTTTCAGGAGTCAGAAGACATGGCACCCACTTTCGAGTTGGCTAATTCCTTCGTCTGAATATTATGTGTTTGCTCCTGGGAGATGCCTAACCTGTTTGCTATCTAACGAGTTGTTAGTCGGGGATGTTGCTTGATCATATCCACCGCTTTGTCAAGATTTTCTTCGTTAGGGGCTGTTGGTGGTCCATCTAACCTGGGTTCCTATTCAATATTCTTGCTGCCGCGCTTGAATTCCTGCACCCAAAGTTCTACTGTGGCATATGAACGGGTATTGTCATGCAATGTATTGAACATATCGCAGTGGATTTCAAATGGCGATATTCCTTTGGGATAGAAATATTTGATCACTGCATGATGCTCAAATTTCTCCATTTACACTAAATTGCAGCCTCTGTTCAATTCAAGCATCTGCTGAAAGGAAAATAAAAGTCGTTGAAATATGCATTTGTATAATGTGAATAAGGAAAAGTAGTGGATTATAAAAACTTTATTTAGTTTGCCTGGCTATCTCGCTCTTGTGCCAGGCTCGAAACTTTTCCTTCATGCCGCGTAGTTCGAGTGCGAGGGAATCCGGCCAGCAGCTCGAAAACTGCGGACTGTTATCACGTTTCGAACCTCAGCTTCTGACGTAGCCTTTTAACTATCTATCCATGGCTCAGCCTGCACTACAGGAGTACGAAAGTAGAGTAGGGGACCAGCTGAAATGCTCTCGAAGGTGTTCCGTCCAACGAGTCAGCCGGCGCTCTTTATAGTGAACCAAGGTGCCCACACTGTCTGCTTATGTCGCCTACTGCTCCTGCTTTCTCTATTTTTGAACCTGACTGGTTCACCAAGCTTCCTGCTCAGCACGTACGCTCCGCTTTAATTCCGGCTTAATTATCCTCAGAGCTAGCCGGGGGGTTTTCTTCTGGATTCCAACAGATTCACTGTCCTCTCAGATATTCAGTGACAGTGGTGCAAACAAATGCTCCCGTTTGTGCATGTCGCCTGAGACTCTGTTTCACTGTAGCTCAAGGTCATTAGGGCGAGAGGGTGAAAGTTCGGTACAGATGGCATCCTGGTATGCTTGCCTGAGCGGTGGGCTGATAACGTCTGTTGGCAATCACTGGAGACAGTTGCTTCATATAGTGGTTCCATCCAGTGTGGAGTGGACTATGGCTCAGCCACCGCCTCGTGTACGTCTGGTACGCTTCGTTCCCCACATAGATAGACAGGAATGCTGTGCATGTTGAAGGAGTGTGGGCCGGCTCCGTTGATGAAATCTGGCTCCCATCCACATGCCTCCCGGTCTTATTCTTTCGGGTTTACACTGGATATGGGGTGTGTGGATGGATCTGTGGATGGTGAAGCGCAAGTCATCCATGGTCTCTCTGTAGACGCAGGCGTCCTGTGGCTAACTGCCACAATAAATGTATAAATACAATACTATCCGGGAGTAGTCTCACTATATGCTCGCTTCCAGCCGATTTCTGGGCGCGCGAAGATTGCACGGCAAGGTAAACGCTTAGAAGACATGTGAAGCACGTGTCCAACCCACCAAAGCCTGTGCAATTACATTGCTCAGCGGCCGATGAAGTCTTTGTATGTGGGTGAGAAACTCACCTCAGCTAATGTGCCGCAATACAAAACATAAGATACCAAATATTACCCTATTGATGCGCCCTCAGCCAGTGTTCCGTGTCTCCTCTACTGACTGCGAATCTACGCATGTGTGTGTGTTTGTCCATTAGTGCGTGTGTGTTTCATCTTTCCTCACATTACGCTCATTGGCCAAGTCCCTTCCTGCCTTATCGAACACTGGACTCAGCACTCACGTTACTCGCT